CAGGGATCCAGCATTTCAAAGGGGAAAGGCCAAAAAATCCCCTAATCTTCCCAAAATAATAACCGGTACCTCCCTCCCCCTCAAAATCTTATCTTATATCTTCCAGGCAAGAAGGTTCAAATATTCTGCTTGTTCAGAAGTAAGCAGTAATTTTCACCAAACTAGACTGGAGATTCCCAGCATCTGTTCCCAGAAAGCTAGCTGGCTGTGCCTGGGCCTGAGTATGAATGCCAGGAGGTCGGCCTCCTGTAGCCCCAAAGCTGCTGCTCTGAGGGGCCACTCTCCACTGAACTCCATCGCAATAGTAGTATCCTAACACACGTGTTGAGAGAGACAGTGCGATGTTCAGAGTGTGACAGCCTGTGCATGACTTGCACTGCAGATACCATGGGCTGAGCGTGGCATGGGTTGCACTTGGGTTGTTCTCTGCTTTGAACACTCACTCTAAGACCTGGGATGTCCAGACATGTAATTCTCTAGCACACATATATGCAAGATGACACTTATCTCTACCTTCATACCACTGAAAACAGTATTTCATAAACTTAGCACAATTTTTCTCGTGTATCTTCTCATTCGTAGTCAGAAAAGCTTTGGCCAGCCTACCTTTGGTAGTTTCGCTTTCCCGGATCAGGAAGGTACCTCTGGGGTTTCCAAATGACAACAGCTGCCTCTCAGCATCTTTTCGGCCAAGTTTGCCAAAGTACCACCTTAGGGAAACATCAGAAATAGTAAGACAAATGCAACATAGGATTACTAGGTAGTGTCATGGAGCTCAGACATGGAGGCTTATTTGTGGAAACTATGGTTACTCAAGCATATTCAAGCATTTTTGTCATACTGTCTCTCTTATTGTGGTGGGAAGCTAACATGACAAACTGTGTAGTAGATGTATACGTTGTGCGGTAGCACTTTGCGTTAAGCCTATAATCAGTAGATGCTGAGAATGCTTGTTTGGTGTCTTACGACAAAGGCCAGACTTCGACAATCAGAGAGCAAGACTTGGCGGGGGGAAGGAATAGACAAGGAAAAGAGCACAAAAATGCGTCGCTGCTGAAGAGCAGCATTTTTACAGATGTTGCTATAAACTACATATTTGACTTACATACTGATGTATTAGTATTCAATATTTTTGTGGCAGCACAGCTATAAAACCTCAGTAGAAGGACCAGATGCAACCACTTCACTGTGGTTGTATAAGGCTTTCAGAGTTTCGGTACCTTTTTCCTTCCTGCAGCAATTTTTTTTCTTTTTTTTTTGTTTCACAATCAACCAAGTACAACCTGAAGTACAGACTACAGTAGTACCTGCTCAACTATATAAGCTCCTCCAGTGTATCTTTTATACTGGAAATAATATGGATACACACAGCACTCCATTTTTTGCATAGATATGTCCTCATTATGCTGCCTGCTGTATGCATTGTAGGCATCCTACCTATTGGTAGGTATTTGTTAATACAATGTGCCCTCTCTAATAGGCAGTTTGCACACTAATTGAGTCCAAATATTTTTACAAGTTGGTTCAGGAAAAGCAAAGGCACCTTTCACTTAAAGCTTGAAATTAGTCAGCACTCGAATAAAGGAAGCAGACCTATGTTCCTTTAGGTTTTCTTCCTTTGTTTTGACATTGAAAAAGCACTGAGCTTGTGCTTCTTTTGTTACTAATTACCTAATTATTTATCAGTGCAGTTAAGAACTGAAATAAAAATTATGTAAGTAATTTGAAAAATCGCTGCAATCAATCAAAACCAACTCCTTGAACCTCCTTCAAATACAGCACTAATGGGTCTTTACAACGAAAAGAAAACATACTCCTCTGCTTGGATGGAATCGACTGGAGCCACATAATTACTGGGAATGTAACCAGTTTCGCCTGTTGTCAAGGACCGGGCCTCCCACCAGTCTCCTTCCCTGCAGAAACAGAGTTGAGGAGAAGTGAGAGCAAGACACAGCTGTAAAGACAATGATCTGACTTTGCTAACAGCACCCACAGCTGTGCTGAGTAAAAATCCACAGCAACCACCTCTTTATCGCCGGCGTGCTTCTGAGAGCTGTTTGCATCTAAACCCAAATAATACACGTATTTCTTTACACCTATTATTATTTCAGCAGTGATTAGTAATGTAGCCTTCCAAACGTAGCATAATGGCATAAACAGGCATAACAACCCACTGAAATCAGGTTTGGTGAAGGCTGGATTTGGACCAGAATATTGAAAACTGTCTCCATAGCAATTTTTCTAATACAGACCCTTGAGAGAGCTTATAGAAAAACTGCCAAACTGAACACTGTCACATCCACTGCTAATTTTGAACTTCTATGGGGATAATTAATCTGAAACCCAAAGGCATCAAAAAGTCATCTATCAACACGGAGTTTTAGATAGCCCTTAAGGATCACACTTCATTGTCTAGATTCCCTCTCTTGGTCACCTACAGGAGGTATCTGAAATAGCAAAGGACTTAGCTGTGTTTTCAAATACTTACAAAAAACCATTCTTCTACAACATTTAAGTATGAAGAGGTCCATGCAGGACCATCTTATGGCAGTGTTCCACAGGCTCAGCATCAATTTTTGTCATACATGTGTGTGTACATGGTACTGCCCTTCAGACAATGTGTGTTGCTGTAGAATGCGCAGCTTTAAGAGAAGTTTATTTCTCAGCTTTTTACAGGATGCAACGATTTGGGGTTTAGCAATTTGTATTTCACTCTCAGCGCCAAATTCACCGATGTTTAACTCCTACTGCTACTCATAAGCACTCTCTTTTCTATTTCTGGACTGCTTAGAAACTCTTTCTCAGTTCCCCTTTCTGTAAAACAGAGGTTTGTTCACTAAATAAAAAACTATCATCAAACGTGGCCAGAGAATTCAGCCTCTTCTGTAAGCAAGCAGTTACAGAAAACAAATTGTCAAAGCTATTACTGGCAGGAAAGGTTGTGTCAAGGTGAGCTCTTACTTTAAATTTTCAACTCCACTTTCTTTAACAGTTTGAAGGAGTATGAGCTCTATGGAAAACAACTAGAAGACAGCTCTGATTAGTCCAAAAGGAGACATTTCCAATTCTACAGTTCAAAAAAGTGAAGAACAAGTAGCTTCTCTAGAGGCTGGCAGCTGACACTATTTTAATACACCTTGTGTGCATTTGTATGTCAGGCAAATGGCCCTGTCTGTTTACGTCCCTAATTTTATCAGCTGAGGTGCTAGCCCTTCCCCCATATGTTGCTGTAGAATATTTCTGAAAGATTATGCCATACTGTGGTTGATAAATTGTACCATTACATTTCTTCTCCTTACTGTACAGAGTCCACTAGATGGAGGTATTTTATCATATCTAGGGAGGAAAAAAGCAGTCCTGTAGATGATCACAACATCAGGAACAACCCCCTCTGCTTTGACAGAGAAGCGTAAATCTCAAAGCGCTGCCAGAAAGGAGGAGGAATGCGACTTTTTTCAGAGCTCTTAATTTTAGACACCCAACTGAGGTAGGAGGCTAGTCAATGGGGCTAGCCAGGGTGTGCGGGAGCGGCAGTGGGGATGTAGGGGATGGCTGAGTGTTTCTGAGCCCTGAAGTCAGACTCTGCTCTGAACCACCCCTGCAAGTACCTCTTTCTCCCCGACTGCCCTTGGTATCATTTCTGACTTCAAATCACAGGGATAACCTCTGTATGCCATTTCAGGTATTGCTGTCCTGAACTTTTAATCCAAAGCACAAATCAAATTTCATTTGTTGAGAGCTAAAAAAACCCCAAACCATCCAAAAATTCCAGACAAACTAGTTTTGTGCACATATATGCTTTCTGGTTGCAAGCAGCATTGGCAGACTCTTAAAAAAATGGGCTTCTTTCACATAATTTCTGATATGAGTGAAGAGAGGAAGCATTCTCACAGAAAAGCTGCTTTCTGGAGATTCCCAGCCTGGCTGTCAGTACTCCAGGAGTGTGGTTGGGTCCCTGTTTATAAGCAGACAGAGCTGACTACGATGGGAACTGAGCTTCTATAATCCTACAAGAAAATCAGTGGATGCTTGTTTTTTTTTCTCTTAGAAAACTTTCCTCCAGGCAGTAATTAGCTGCATTAAAATCCATGTACTGCAACCGCCCACACGTGGGGAATCTCTCTGTCCCACCGACTCCAAGCATGATTGCTCCGCAAGTCCTGGTGAGCACCCCCTGGTTTCATCAACTGGGATGTGTAAGAAATTTATAATGCGTGGTATTTCTTCTTGTTTCAAGTTATGGCATAGTTTGTGCAAGGTTAGGAAAGCAGCAGGCAATATGAACAAAAATGGATGATAAGTTAAAAAAGGTTTTTTTTCCAAGTGCTAATTTAGAAGTAGAGAGGTTTTTAAACTCCCTCTACAAGTTGTAACTGAAGTTTCTGTGCTTTCATCTACATCAAAGCTCTTCAGCTTCATGGCTTCATGAAATATTCCACAGAATTACCTTTTTTTTTTTTTTAACTTTACTGCACATTGAGCCAACTCCAACCCTGGACTTGTTCTATTAAAATTAACAGGAGCTGCACCAGGGATGAATTTGCCTCACTGTCACATAGCGTAAGAAAAAAAGATGAGAGCAATATCACAAAGCCTCTACGAAGCCATATACTTGGCTGTTAACCCGTTTCTACCTCTACATGACAGCAATACTGAACATAACACAGAGCCTTCAACTTTATGTTCTTAGCCAAGATTTACAAGATGTTCAGATATAGGTCAGTAGCACAGTAAGTTTTAGATGTTATTTTTAAATTGCTAAGGGATTTTTTTCTATGGGCACTTAATAAAATTAATTTAAAATTGATGATTTCCAGGATGGAAGTGTGGCTTTCATGCCAAATGCAACTGTGCAATGGTGCATTCTCACTTAACAGAACTTCCTGGCATGTTCTGACTGTATCACCTACCTTTAAAAGGAAAATAAATGCTTTTAAACTTGTCACACAAGTCTGGGTAACGTCTCTTTTGTGAATCAGTTTTTAGCTCGTTTCTGTGTAGAGATACTTGCAGCAGATTGCAAAAAGTGTTAGTACATGCCTTGCAGAACTTCTGTGACTACTGGTAAAGTACAGAGCTGGTACTCTCATTTCTGAATGTGAGTTTACTGTGAAATGTAAGCAGTGAATCACACAATCTAACGTTTATTTTTGAAGTAAAGCTGCATGTGGTTGAAGGGTTTTTTTTTCAACAGTAAAGCACTTTGCAAAAGTGCACTAAATGCAAAGACAAGGAAGTAAGCATAGAGTAAAACCCCTACAGATCTTGAATATCCAACATTGGATTTTACTAATAACATAAGCAGACAAATATAATTGTCAACACTGTAAGTTTAAAAAAGCATATTCCCAAGCCTAAAACTTACGAGCTGTTAAGTATTTGAAATTTTTCTCCTTTGTGAAAACTCAAGTCATCTTCTGTTCTTGCTTCATAGTCATAAAGCGCCACAAAAAGAGTTACACCTAAAGAAGAAGACAGGTGAGTTACACTCCATCACAAAAAACAGGAGGGGAAGGAGCCTCAAGAGGTGAGGTGGCTAAGCCAAATGTAAGCTACTCCGGTTGCTGAGGAGCAAAATAAACTGAAGCCTCCTACTTTTTGGACAACCATTCTAATCCCTCTGCTTTTATGCAGCCAGCGGGCATGCCACATTCTTCACTCTGTACAGTCATCAGTACTCTTGGTTTGGTACCCACACACAGTGTAGGATCCCAAGCGGGCAAAGGGGGTTTGAAAAGAGAGTTTAGACATAGCCATGCCGAGTATTTCCTGTTAACCACTTGAGGTGGCTCAGACCACACTTTCTGTTCCCTGGTAGAGGTATAAGGCAGTCAATCAGCCAAATTGGGCATGTATACATAATTTCTCACCCCCCAAGTGAACTAGCACCTGCAAGTTAGCAAAGGTAGGGCTGAAGACCCAGCTCCACCCCTACTTCAATTCTTTGCACTATTTCGTGAAATAACTCTTCCCAAAAGCAGCACGCTGAGACAGTTGTGCCTCTGCTGTAATTATGTGATTGATACTCACTAAGAGCACTGAAAGAAGACTTTGAAACTCACCTGTTCCTCCTCTTGTACGCAGTGTCCCTGTATGAGAGGAGGAATTGACTCCACCAAACACAGTCAGTCCTTGGCCTCCTGTGGCATGGAAGTTGTTGTAATTTGGGATTGAAGTCACACCAAAGCTAGGATAGTGCTGCGGAGTGGGATCTGTCCCATAGCGGTAGCCTGAGCTTTGAGTTAAACTGCCATCCCTCTCGTCAGTCAGTTTTGTTGCTTCTTTATCCTTACATTGCACACAGCCCATTATCTAAAATCCTAGGAGAGGAAGGAAAGGACAGGTGTTCACACGTTGATGCTCACCAGATCTCCCCCAAACCCACATATGATGAGGATCAAATTAAGTTCACTGCTCAAAAGTTAAGTACTTTGAAAAAAACCCACAGTGGTTTGAATATAAACAGCAACACATTGGGAAAAGCTCACACAAAATCTTCCTTGCAGTGGTTTTCCATTGAGGCCTGGGGAGGGAGGTCCTGCCTGCTCTTAGGGTAGTGGCAGCTCTCTGCCCAGCCCTGCCAGGAAATGGGTTGCATGGAGGTAGTGAGAGGATGAAACCCCTCTCGCTCACCCTTCGCCAGGAGAGCACGACTGGCAGGCAAAGGACTCAGCCAAAAAGAACAGCTGGAGGTGTTCAAGTCTGCTCCCCAAAACACAGGGCGAGGCACTTAGCTCACAGTTCATGTTTGACCTTGCCAACTACACAAGAGCTGACTTCACCTAAAGGCAATACAACCTTTTTCCATTGCTGGAGCTCTGCGTGGCAGGGAGAAAAGCAGACACAATGCGCTGATAGTACAGCACAGGAAAGTAGGAGGGAGCTCATCAGATGGCACAACGAAAACAAAAGGAAGCACCCTTTTATGCAGTACTGAACAGAAGTGTAAAACCTGCCGGTAGTGGATGGTGGGGCAGCCAAAGGTATACATGAGTTAAGAAACTAGAGAAAGTCATGGAGGAATTAACACGTCAAATGCAGAGCATCTCCAAGTCTGGATCCCAGACAGGAGGAAACCGAGAGAGTATGGCTTGGAAAGCATTGCGCTAAGTTTTTTAATTCTTGTAACCTCCTGTTTAGCACCCTCATGGGGCACTACCGGGGCCTGGGTTAATCGCGCTTAATTTCAGGAGCCTATCTCTCTAGGTGGAGGGAGACAGAGGGTGACTGGCCACATCTTAGAAGCAGCCCTCCGAGGTTAGTCCTGTTACCTAGTATTGCTTTTTATCTGTCAGCCCTAACATCTTATAATCCATGTGCTGGTGTTACCAAACTCTTTCCTATTGACTCGAGCTGAATCTAGACACAAAACCCGAGTTTCTGAAGCTGGGCATGATGAATCTAGGGAATCAGATACTCGTCTGGATGCACCCTTGATCTGAACCGGTATGGTGACTTACATGTAACCTGGCTCACAAACAACATACTCTAAACACTGGGGCTGCAAGAATAGCAGTGACAACAGAAAAATATTTGAAAAAATTAGAATTACTGGACATACTTTGTCCAGAATATACAAATAGTCAGGGAGAAAATGCATGGAACATTAAAAAAAAGTATAGCAAAGAACTTTTTTTTTCATATTTCTTTTCACATTTCAGCCAATATCCGTCACTTAGGGTAAATAAAAAGCCTATCCTTTTTCAAATATCCTCATTTTTCTGTAGCTGCCAGGCTGGCTATTTTATATGCCTTACCCCAACATCAACACAGGAAATTCGTTTTGACAAACTCATGGGATTCAGAAAAAGCATATTCCTCTGCTGCTAATGCTTCAAAAATTATGCAGTAGCTGCCTGCTTGTCTGTGACAGTACCCAACCTGGATACCTGCTTCCTAAATCTAACTTGCCTAATTAAAAAACCGCTTCTGTTGAAGGGTATTTTCTACAATTTGAAGATACTTCCAGTTATTCTACAAGCCTGTTCAGAAGAACAAGCACCATTTTAATGTATTTCCCTGAGCTGTATTGCCTGCATTTAGCACGGGTCTACCATCTCTTGCTCTTAGCTTAACTTAAAGGCACCCTTTTTGCATTTCTCTTTTTCCTTCAAGATGCCACATTCACTCAGCAGAGTTCCCTCACCAAAACTTTTAAGTGTCTTCACGCGAACAGAAACAAGGACTCTCGACTCTGCATCTGCTGCAACGGTTGGCATGAGCTGGGATCCCTCAAGAAACTAAAGTGACAACAGGTCGAGGGAAAGGGGTTTGCAGCCTGGAGGCTGCAAAACACACTGCTGCTGTTACTGCTGCGGTGGCCGTGCCGGCCTCCAGCCTCTGCTCACCCTGGTAGCTGGGTTGGTGCTGGAGGTACCATGCTGGTATCTGCTCACCCTGGTAGCTGGGTATCGTGCTGGAGCTTAAGGTTGTCCATCCCTCGGATCAGCAGTGACTCTAGGTGAGCCCACAGGGACTGCGACGGGTGCAGAGGTGCCTCAGCCAGCTTCGTATCAGCTGCAAAAAACTGCTTGCACCGATATCTCTGCTGCTTTTACCCGTTTCAACAGCAGGACAGTCTGGCTCTGGAGACCCTCTGTTTGGAGATGTCACTCAGAGGTGAGGACTTGTTGGAGTGGGTCCAGAGGAGGGCCACAAAGATGATCAGGGGGATGGAACACCTCTCCTCTGAAGAAAGGCTGAGAGAGTTGGGGTTGTTCAGCCTAGAGAAAAGAAGGCTTCGGGGAGACCTCGTTGCAGCCTAAGTACTTAAAAAGGGGGCTTATAAAAATGACGGCGGCAAACTTTTTAGCAGGGCCTGTTGCGACAGGACGAGGGGGAATGGCT